TGTTTCTCACTCTATCTATCCTACAGTATATGTTTGTCAGTGTTAGTGTATGTGTGTTTTCTTTATCATGACCTCCCATTATTGAAGATTTCTTTCTCTTATAATAATTGTTGTTTGCCTTCAATTTCTCCTCTTCCTTGTTATTTTTCACTCTTTTGCCTGTTTTAAGCAGGCATTTAGTCTGTCATTTCCTGTTGTTTTTGACTCGGTGTGTGCTGACATATTGTGCCAAATAAAAAGTGAACAAGTGCAGGGTCTCTGCCAAACTAATTTTTGCATTGGGGTGCATCAGCAGTATGTCCAGCAGACATCAACTCATTACTTTAGGAGCAACTCATTGACCATGCACTTCAGGGGGGTAAAACCAGCCTCAATTAAAAACCGTTGAGCGTAAAACAAATGAAGCTGCAATTTGCTGCCTTCTCTTTCAGATGGCTGTTTTTATCATCTCTGCTTTTTCCCCTTTCTATTTTTGTCTGACATTTTGCCATGCAGGCTTTAGAATTTTTCTCTGGCTCTGCCTTTAAATAACAGTCTAGTCCTCCCACTGCCCACAATTCCCCAGTGCTCATGACTTTCATCCCACTTGACTCATGAAGTCTGAATAATGGACAGATCTTTCCCGAACACATTGCTCAGTGGTGTAGTTGCAAGTATCGCTTTATAAGGCTACGTCAGCCTTCAGAACATCACTAATGTCCACCTTCAGGCCCTCAAAATCATGAACCATTTTGCTATATTTCATGGTGTTTGTAGTACAAATTATGTAGATAATGGATCAGAGTTTGTCTGTATTTCCCAACTGACTTAGCTTCTGAGGTACTAGCTGCTATATGGTTAATTTCTTGGATCGACACCTTCCACATCTTTTCTCTTCTCTCTTATGCACTGTTAAAATGTTTCCTGAAAGGACTTTGGACCTCCTAAAAGATGGTTAGTTGAGTTAGATATTTACCCAACGATAAATGCTGTAAATGGGGTTTCATGTTTATCTTATATTTATATATTTCAGCATCTTACATTTTTTTTTGTGATGGATCTATTCATAGTATACTTTTTGATTTTTGAATTTGATGGGGTCCAGAGTTCCTAATTTTAAAGTTTCTTTTAAGAGCTTTTTTCCTCCAAGTGCACGTGAGCTGCGGAAATGCCAGAATCAAGTTGAAAGCATCAAGACCAGCATGAAGTCTCAGTGGGACGAAAAGGCCAAGAGATTTGTTGTCATACCCTCCTTTTTGGGGCTGATGGGTATTGCATTGAGTTTTACAGTTAGCGTGTCCAAGACTGGTGGGCGACCGGCGTTTTGTGGCTATATTCAAATGTGGTATCATTCAGCCCAAAACCTTCAATTGCTTCACCCAATAATCTGGCCGTTGTTCTCAAATGTATTCATAGATGGAATTGGAACGGGCTAAAATTGCCATCTAAGCAAAGGATGTCTCATTAAATCATAGTCATGGTATCATTAGCTTGTGCCACAAAAATAGAGACAGAGATGGAGAGGTCCAAGACCCACATTCTCCACCGCTATTTCATTCTTCTCGCATTGGTTAAAAATAGTTTTGATCCATTTTCCCTCACTTTAAATTCTGTTTAAGCTGATTTGGCTGATGTGGACGTTAGCTGGACTAGAGATTGCAATGGCATGACATCAGAGAGGCACCGCTGCCAATAGGAAACAAAAGTTCAATCCATTTTCCGTAAATAGGATGCCAAAACCTTCACTTTCTCCCAAATTTTTTTTATATTTTTTATTTGGGGCGCAAAAGGCCATCTGATATGAAGCTCTTTCATTAAACTCAGTGCAGTACTCATTAGATATAAACATCCGGTTATGGAGACCGCTTTCCCTCTGTCACTGATTTATTAGTATTATTATTGTGCTTAGTATGATTGGAATCAGCAATGTGAGCCAATCAAAATTGAGTTTTGTCCCTCCAGCGTTACGAGCTTTTTTGAATGAAAGTGCATAAAGGGAGAGCGTCTCACTACAGAGGGTAGGAGGGAAGCAGATGAGTGGGGATGTCCTATAGGAGCTGACCTGTCTACTGTAAAACCAGGCTGTGAACATACACCTGTTCCCATCCCAACTGTCCCCCGTAATTGAGCACCTCTGAAACTGGGGCAGTCAACACAGCAACTTTCAGTCCCAGTGAACGGTTTTGGTTGCTGCCCCCTGGATACTCTTGTCTGCAGCCCAAATAAATTAATTTATAACACAAGGGTTAAAGAGCAGAACATTGACCTCATCTCAGATTTTGTTAGTTCCTAGGAGTCATAAAAAATAACAATAAATAAGGTAAATAAATAAATAGCAACCAAAATGGCAAAGATTAGCCAAGTCTGGACGTTTAGGATTCATAAATTGTACATTATGAAGCAAAGGTAATGTTCATGGCTTCTATTAGCGGAATTAAAGCCAGATGGGCTAGAAGATTCCTTTGGTAATTAACCCCAGAACCGGTTCTGCTGGCATCTGATCCTGAGAACTCACACTAGAGTGACCCCATATACGTCATATGCATGTTTAAGAAATATGACATGTAGAAAATATATCATACGAACATGATATTGTTTTTATACATTAAATAAACAAGAAGTGAATATCAAGTAACTTACATTCAAGACAATATTTCCAGCTACTTTGTCTGTTTGATTTTTTTTTTTTTCATTTTCCTAACAAAAAGAGTTCCAAACAAAGTCAAAGCAGAACCGCTGTGTGTCTCCAAGCAAAACTAGTGGCATTTTGTCCAGTGTTTTCAAACAAATCGGTCAAGTCAGTAATTCAATGACTCACTCATAAAAACATCTGGTGAATTTGAAATGGTATATTAGCGTACTACTCCAACTATTTTTGTCATATTTTTATTTGGAAGTACTAGGGTATTATTCTAGTATTTTGCTTTAACATACTTCAATGAATCAGCACTCTTGAGTAGAATGAATGAATCAAAGTCTCACTCATAAAGATGGTCACTTGCTGTAATCTGCAGAAAGACTCTCTCCCAGTGCTGTTATTTTTAACTAAAACTATTACAAAATATATATATTTTTTTGTTATTTGAAGTAAAGCTAAAATATATGAATATTAAATGAAACCTAAATTCAAATTTGAAATACTGCTTTGGCAACTATCTGAAATACACAAGTTTATTTTCAAGTCCTACAATTACTAAAACTAAAATGAATATAAATATTAAAAAATTATAAAATTGACAGAAGCACATAAAATTGTTAAAGCTAAAATTAAAATGAAAAAAAAATTCACAATTCTAATAAATACTATAAGTATATAAATAAAATTAAAATAACACTGGTGACTGGTCCTCATCACTAATACAAAGACACAAAGTCTGTGTAGAACATGCAAACATGGACAATGGCTTACGTATAGAATCTCTACATGTTAAACTGAGATGAACATCCAAAACATTACTCGCATCACTTTTAACAAGCAAATAATTTGGACATGTTCTAGATGAGTCATACTCAAATTCACTATCCAGTGGGGAGCAGCCATGTGATTAAACAAATACTGCTGATGTGGCAGCGTTATATATAAAAAATAAAAGGTTGAATGCAGCACCTGTTGCTTTGGTCCAGTGGCTGGTGCCAGAAAAAAGCCTGCCTAATGGGCTGACAGGACCACAGGGAACACAGCTGCCGCTCACAGCCCTGCCTGTGTGTTGAGATGATAAGCCCCCCGGCCCCCCGCTGCTCTGCCATCCCTCCTGTCCTCTCCATCCTCAGCAAACAACAGAGAGAAATCACAAAGAATAGAAATGGATCAGCAAAACTAGCATATGCACAAGTCCGTCCAAACGGAATGGAGTTTATTTTGTCTCAGGGAATCTCATTAGAAAACCCATGACAGTAGGTCAATTTGTTTTGTTGAGGTGTCTGTGAGTGAGCAGATCTGAGGCATCCTGGCCCCTCATTCTGGGCTCCTCTGCCTTTGATCTGATATTTGGGACAGACCACAGAAACATAATCACGGTTAAAGGAAAAGTTTACACGAAAATGAAAATTGTCACTTACTCAGCCTCATTTAGCTCAAAGCCAATATGACTTTTTTTCTGCGCTATTCAAACAGACATTTTGAAGGCTGTTTTGCTTTTTAAGCTTAGCAAAAGCACCATTACCAAAGTATCATAAAAGTGTTCCATACAACTTTAGCACTATATTTCAAGTACAAGTACAAAATCATACAATAGCTTTGTGTGAGAAACAGGATGCAAGTATGTTGTTACTCACTGAAAGGTTTAGATTTGTAAATAAGTCATTCTTTTGAATCATTATTTTGGGTCAAATCAATGAATGATCCGGATCATAAAACTAATTTAAATGAGTCTTTCACAAATTGGACTGATCCAGTTTTCAAGTTCAACTCACTGACTTGATGATACAGTCACAGTGAATAACATTGGCTTATTGTTAATAGGGCTGAATTTGTTATTACTCCCTGAAAAGTTGAAGACTATGAATGGTCCAGTTCATAAAACGAATAATTGTTTTGCAAATTTAACTGATCAGGCTCTCAAGTGTAACTCACTGACTCGATTCAGTTGCAGTGATTAACACTGATTCGCTTTATTCCTCACACAGAGCAATCATAAGGCTTCAAAAACTTTAAATGTGACACAAGTCATATGGACACATTTATGATGCATTTGCACCATTTTTAGAAACTAAAAACTTTGTAATTTTAAATTTGTAATTCATGGAAAAAAGCGGCCAGCACAGCCTTTCGAATCTCTTCTTTTGTGTTCCACAGAAGAAATAATGTCAAACAGGTTTGAAACAACATGAGGATGAGTAAGTCAATTTTCATTTCTGGATGAACTTATACACATGTAGTATGATCTACTGTACCTCTTTTCTTCTCTTTCCCACTGGTTCTTTCCCTCCTCTTTTCTCAGTGCGGGCATGAGTGTGTACAAAACAATGTTTGTTTCAGTACTGTTATTTCATGATTCCTCCCTGTTCCCATGGTTCTTCAGAAGCCCAGAGTAAACCCTATTACTCCGATTACTCACCTACACGGCTTCTCATCCACAAGATATGCACCAGCCACTATCTGGACCTGTTCATCACAATTGTCATCGGGCTCAATGTTATCACCATGTCCATGGAGCACTACCAACAACCTAAGGTACCTCTTGCCAGTGGTGCCAGTAGTGAGAGTGCATGCGCTTGTTGATATTCCATTAAGGAAATTAACTCGCCTGTTATGTAACTGCAAACAATGTTCACTGCTATCTCATATTATGGCTCTGCATAATATTTGCTGATTAGGCAGCTGATGTTTATGTACTCTTTTTGCTATACCGCATTTTGATTATATCATAGCAGTAAGTATATAATCGTAATCTTTATATTATTATACTCATTTGCACTTTCATTGTGCTGCTCCAGGACATTTTGTACCATTGCTTGTGTCTAAAGAAGCCTTATGAGGGTAATGCCTCACCAAAATAAACCACACTGTAGTGTATATGCACTGAAATTTATGCATATTCCCTCATCTGTCTTTTCCTTCCGCATAACACTACAGAGACTCTTCATGAATATTCAATAGACGACTAAAACAATAACACGAGTTAGCAGATATGCTCTGGGAGTTTAGATTGAATTTCTGTTAATCATTTGGGTGGTGTAGTGTGTTCTTCTGAAGTGCTTTATTCATTCCTTTATGACAAAGGTCAGTTTTGCTGGTAAAAGACCACTATAAATTAAAATTGACTGTTTTGTGGTTCTTTCAAAAGGTAGGAAGTTAGAAAAATAGAAAACATTTTTAAATGATTTATTCATTTGTATTTATTTGGTGCATTTTTTATTGTATTAGAATAATTTATGTATTTATTTTTAGAGAGCACAAAGAAAGTTTTAAAGTTATTATTATTATTATTTAATTTATAAAACTAGACATTATTAACATTGGACTTTAAAATGTTTTATAATATAATGTATCATTTTAATGTTTTATATTTATTTAGTTGGTTGGTTGGTAGGTATCTCTCCAGTGTATCAAAACAGGTATCAAAACTGGTGTTTACTATTCCTATTAGACAACTCTGTAGTGATGCATCCCAGGGTTTTCACCCATCATTAATGGAGGTCTGCGACCTCACCTGTGGCTATAAATAGCAGTCTGTTTTAATTAGAGCCCCAGTGGCCCGCAGAATCTTGGAGGAAGTGGAGCAAAGGGGATTGCTAGGCTTTGACCGCTTACACACTCATTCCGTGAACAGAATCAATTGATTTTCTGGTGCATCGTCACACTTAGCCTGGCCTTAATTACTGTGTGGTGGACAGGGAGAGGCCAGACTCCTGGAAATGTCCAATGACTATCAGACCCTGAAGATGCCAGCTAATGATTGTTGTTTCTTTTGGGATAATCTGACCACCTTTGATAACTCATCATCTTTTCTGCTTATTGATAATGGAATGACTCATTCAGCCATCATTTGGCTTATAGTTTGTGTATTAATTTATTTTCTGAAAGAGAGGATGCATTCTTGTTCTGCACTTTCACTATTACATTATCTTCTGTGTTTTAACAGGTCCTGGATGAGGCTCTGAAGATCTGTAACTACATTTTTACAATCATATTTGTCCTAGAGTCCGTCTTCAAGCTTGTTGCCTTTGGATTTCGCCGCTTCTTCAAGGATAGGTAGTATATTTGACCCTCTCAAAAGTTACATTTGAGGTAGTTGATCCAAACCAAATCAAATTTACAGTAAATCCGTTTCCATGGAGGTCCAATATCCCTATCAGCATAATTTTTTTGTGTGTAAACGCAATAGGGTTTGTTAGTATTCCTGAAGCCACATCCTTTGAAATTATATCACAGCTTTGAGATTCCTTGGTTTGCCTCAGACTGTCAGAAGCACATCGAGGGCTGAATGCACTGGCGTCTGTGGTGAAAAGCCAGAACCTTATTTCAATCACTTGTGGTTTTGGTAAAAGAAACCTCTCTTGAGTATCCAAATTCAGACTGCCTGGGGCTTAAACAATGAGAAAGCATCCTAAATGGTATTTATTCCATTTATTACTAAATTAGTAACAAAGAAGTGATAAATGCTTTATTCTACCTTTTTAATATACATAGTATATGTGTAGGCCACACATATTTTCTATATAGAGTCTGAATAATCCATTACACTTTTAATTAGTTTTGAATAATCAGTCAGTATGGGGATTAGGCCCTTTACTGAAGTTGATAGGCCATTAGAAGTTCTCATGTAATCAACTTTTTCTTTCAATAGCGTAATAAAGAGCATATCATGTCAGTGTATTCCCAGATCCATAATCCATGTGTAGGGAAATGTAAAGCAGCTATTTGCGTACTAATGAGAACTTTGACACAACATAATTGATATGATTTTAAAACAAATCTCTCACCATAGGCCCTCCCATGAGTTGAAACTACTGTTAGACATTTCAGAACATGCTGTTCAGGAGGTGAAGGTTTAAGAGTTTTATTGATTTACAACATTGGAAATGGCTTTCTATTACTTTGATCAGCTCTTTCATGCAACATACTCCAAGTTCGCAGGGAAGGAGGATGGAAGTACGCTTTGATCACTGAGCCCCTTTAGTGAGCAAAACTGGTGGGAAAAATGTAGAAATGCTTTGTGTTAATCATTTGACTTAAATTCCCCCACATATCTAATGAAACACCTCTCGTGGCTGCAGGCCCCAGTAAATTTAGGTGTCCTAAAACAGGCTCTAGGCTCTACCTCACCCATGACAGTGTTATATTTGACCCTCAGAGGGAGTTATTTAAAGTTAGCCGCAAAGTTTGAAGCCATATTTAGACGATGAACATGCTGAGAAGTCTGCTGGAAAAGAGAAGTAACATCCAGGGTCAAATAAGGGTTGTTTGCACAAAATCGCTTTTCATTTTTGAAATTGTGTTGCACACTTTGCCTGGTGTATTTTTAAGGATATGTAAGGTTAAGTCCTTTGAAGTTTGAGGAAATCATACTGTGATATTGAAGTGATTTTGAAAATTAGCACATTGGGCAATTTTATATTTCATTCTCTATTTTCAACAACAACAAAAAAAGAAACATGAAATTTCTCTCTTTAGTGGCAAAGAAAGCTGGTACAACAAATAAAGGATGCACTTAACAGTGGAGAATTATGGATGGTGTAATTTTGCTTCATAAACCAGCTAAATGTGTAAGATTTTCTGGCAATCTGACAATTGTTCATCAACAGTATAAAAATGTATACTAAATAAATTGTAACTTTTTACAATAACTAAAAGTTACATTTTAACTAATAGTTTGAATGTAAAACTATTTTTTAAATAAAACTTGAAAAAATAATTTAATTTCATTTAATTTAATTTAGAGTAAATAAATATGATTGAAATACAGTAAATTGTAACATTAACAATTTTTCTTAAATGAAAATGAATAATTTAATGTAATTAATTTAATTTAATCCAGTATAGATGAATACAATTGAAATATGTTGTAAAATCAACATAAAAGTAATAATAATCATAACAAAAAATTAAAACTGAAATATTGTTTTTATCCCAAGTAAATATAACATTCATGTGAGCACATCTTATAAATACGATCATTCTGACATGACTTGAAGGCAGCATTACTCTCTTTTATTTACTATTAATAATTAATATTTAATTGCTATAATTACTAATGTAATGAGTGTCTTTACGCAGGTGGAACCAGTTGGATCTTGCCATTGTTCTGTTGTCTATTATGGGCATAACACTGGAAGAAATCGAGGTCAACGCTTCCCTTCCCATCAACCCCACCATCATTCGCATCATGAGGGTGCTGCGGATCGCTCGGGGTTTGTATTATTTGCCTTCTTATCTTCCGTACCACCATAGTCCATTTTTCTTCCCTGCAAAAGTTTACACTCCTCAGCGCTCTGCCTGTTAGCCTCAGTAGATCAGACCCGGTTGTGTATGTCACCCTCAGGATCTCTGTTGTTTCACAGACTGCTCAGCAGAAGCCGTAGTCTGTTTAGAAAGAGTCCAGATGGCTGTAATGAGAAATTCAGTTCACACAGCCACTCTACTTATTTCTTACACACACACTCACAAGCTTATACGCTCACAACACACACAGTGTGGGAAGCTGGGGTGCTTGTCTACTTGGAACAATTATTCTTCCTCTAATGAAAGAGCTGCTGGGTGAGTCTTTATTGATTATTCCCTCAACAGAGATGGCCAAGCAAACACACCTGCTCAGATGTCTTGTGTTCTCATCAGGTTGTGTGTGTGTGTGTGTGTGTGTGTGTGTGTGTGGTTTTTGACAGCAACTTGGACCCAGTGTCTGATGAGAAGGGTGGAGAGACGTCTGGAGTGTGTCACACGGCTGGCCGGCCCAGCATCCCAACCTGTTCAGCTAGATAATGGGTGAGATCCACAAAACCTGCTCAAACATTTCAGCAAATGGCCTCGATGGAAAGTTCTGCTCAGAGCGCTGGTCTTTGCCAGCCTGCTTAGAGAGAAAAGGGAAGAGAGACGAGATGATAGTAGGACAGAGAGAGACAAGGGGACTTGGTTTGTGCTAGTGCCCTTTATGATGGCGGTCTGATTCAATTTGTTCAATCCACCAACATCCCATTATATTTATAAAACTCTATAATAGCACGACAATACTACTGCAAAGTTTTACATCCTTGTTTATGTGTATTAAAGGGGTCCTATTATGCTTTTTCACTTTTTGAACTTTAGTTAGTCTGTAATGTTGCTGTTTGAGCATAAAAAAGATCTGCAAAGTTACAAAGTTCAAAGTCAACTTCAAAAGGAGATATTTTATTTAACAGAAATCACTTTTCAAAAACTACAACGAACGACTCGTTTGGACTACAAAGCATATTTTCCGGGATTTGTGATATCACAAATATCGACGAATGGGACGAGACCTGGTTGAGCTGCACTAGAGAAGGCAACGAGTGTTATCACTATGTCGGAGACTCGCTATCTTTCCCAAGGCAGACGAACTTAGAGTGGTTACAATCATCTGGGTTTAAATCGCGCTCAAATTGATTTGATTTTGACACAATATTTACACTGAAGTTCGCAGGCGGCTATGGTAAGGGGCATGACATTTCC